CAGCATGTAAAACATGAGCCTGTGTGCATGTCGGATGCTGGCATGGCAGGTAGAGACTCAGCTGGCTACGGCAATGCTTCCACCCACCAAGCAGCATTTTAATAGCTGCACCAAACTCCCACACTTGGCGTGACCTTTCAGGCGTCTGTGATCTGGTAGCAATCCTTCCTCATGCTCCATTACCACTACCTCCTAATTTGTAATTTGGTACCTAGTTGATTGTCAGGAAACTAGATCAGAAGTGAAGCAGCCAGGACAGGACTCAGCCCCAAGCTGCCATTGGAGATATAGACGTCATTGCAAGGGACCACTTAGCTGGTTGCACCACAGTGCCAGCCCATCATTATTATCTTTAGCTTTAGCTTCAGTGTCACCCGCTCTAAGAAATTTTCTTTCTTCTACAAGTAGGACCAGGTTATCCTCTTCTGTACTTGTCATTCTATGCTGAAATCACATACAGTCAACTCCTATCCTTACCATCAGCCTACCAGGGACAACACATTGGTGGTCATAAGGGTCTTGTCAATAATTGTGTGTCATCAGGAAATGCCAATGGAACTCTGTTTATATCTCCACCACTGAGAGTTATACACCTGTGTTTTCACCATCACACAAGCCTACACCAATGCTTGTTACAGAAGGATGCTCCAAATCCGTGACAGGTGATGTGTTTAAGATGAAGGGTTGGGGGCTGGCATGTGGGCACAGCAGGATGTCAGCATTCTATACCCTTGCTTGTTCCAGTTTGAATGTCTGCCTTCCCAGGTTCATTAGCAGGAAGTTGGATCAGAAGCAAAGCATCCAGGGTTTGAGCAGGTACTTCACTTTAAGATGTTGGTAGCTATCTTCCATTGCTTTCCTAGGGGCATTGGCAGGGAACTGAAAGCTAAGTGGATCAGCTGGGACTGGAACTGGTGCTCATAAGAAATGTTCATTTGTTGTAGGCTCTGGCGTAACCCACCACACCACAATGCTGTCGCTGGGTATAGAAATCAGCTAATAAGAATACGTATGGACACCCAAGTGCACTGTGTGGGTGTCTGGAATATCTGAAAATGGTATTTTATTGAACATATCTGTGCCCCCATCGTATGCATTCACCTGTTTGTGGATTCTAAGACCCTGCCTTGTTTGCTTAAGAACGCACTCACGTTACCTACAGTCTCTGGCCACACCAAAGTTGACAAAGTTTTTGGTCAACTTTATATGAATAGAGGTGTAGAACCAAAAAATGAGCCAAATCCCACTTGGGCAAAGGCCGTGTCCCAAAGCATGGGTGTGTGATTTATGACGGGCCCCGTGTTCCCGGAATAAGGGAAGGAGCAAGTGTGCATCTCCTCAGCCCTTCTCGCTCGCCTGGCATGCATATTCCCCGGGGTTTGGAGGTAGCCCTCCAAAATATGAGCTGAAAGCTTCCTCGGAAAGCAAATCTTTCCCACATCCTTCCCTGCAGTTCCTCTTTAAGAGGTGTCAGCGTGGCTGAAAGAATGAAGTGGCTGCACATTGTTTGGCGGTGCTATTATGTGCTTAACATTTCCATAACAAAAGTGCCACTCGACTTCTCCCCGATTAATGCAGCTCGAGGGCTCTTGTCGTCCTTTAATAAAACATTGTTGAAATCATTTATTTAGAGTCCCTGGTTACTAGTGGGAGAATGACTATCTTTGTGCCAAAATATAGTGTATACAGTCCACTATTTTGTAGTAGATCATTCTGTTATTGAAGAAATTGATTAAATGGATGGCTTAGAAGGTATTTATGTTAATAGCACATTACTTATGTCATTCATATAGTCAAGGGTGAGCCTTTTCAACTGTCTCCCAGGGGCAATCTCTCAAACAGAATACAGTAGTGCCCAGCCTTACTTAACGCCAGGGCATTGAGACCCACTGGCAATGGAACCTGCCAGTAACCAGCCCTTGGTGTCGAGACCTTTCTAACGGGATGTTCCCCAACAGCCTTGCTTTGAGACACTGGAAGAAATGGGGTTCACTGGCACAGTTTCTGGTGGTCCCCAATTCAGAGGTCAGCGACAAGTGCTGCGGAATTTTCTTCTCACAATTTGGAAGACACATATTGGAGGTTGTAAGAGAGCTTTAGCTGTGAATTCGTAAACCGCCGGTTTAGGGCCAAAGTTCCAGTGTAGAAAGATTTTCCAGACACTGCTTGCTGTCTTCAAAAGTTCCCAAGACTTATTTTGGGGGGCTCTCTTCTTATTCCACATTAGCTATGATGTAGTCCACTGGGTCAAGGTGTGAACAGGGTTGGGAGGGGAAAATTCATTACAGAGGATGTTTCTCCACATTTCCAAGGTAGTGAAAGAGAAGGGTACAAGAGTGTTGCCGTCTGGGGCACTTGGTGCCCCTGCACCCCAAAGGCCTTACAGTCTGACAATTCCTTCGCAGTGTGGAGGTGATGGGGAGCTACTTTCTTCCTAGCAGATCCTTGCAGAGGTGCTGCGGAGAGCAGCCCATTCCTACTCCGTAGTAGGAGGCATTTAATTCCCTTGTGGTTATTTTTTTTTCTCCACTCCCCATACGTGTAGCACTCAACGTCCATCGCTATATATTGTTAAAAATCAACAGAGACCTTATGCTATGTCTATTGTGATTATCCACAAAAGCGTCGCTCCGTGCTCGGCTGAGCAGTGAAGCCTGAATCTCCTTCTATTTACTGTATGGTCACTGTCAGTTCAATGAACTGCCTCCTTGTTCTCCACCATTGTCCCACACTCCCTTAAACATTTGTCACTGAAGTGCCTCCAAAGACAAATAAACTGTCACCGAGAATTCAGACTCCCTAAGTGGGGAGAAGGAGAAGGCCCTGAGGACGCACGGGGTCTTGGGTGAACTCCCCATGGTGTCCCTCTCTTCCCTGGGCACCTGCTCTGCTTGGCAAGTGTTGCTGATGCTTCCCCAGTTGCTCCAGGAAAAGCCACACATACCTCTTCTTTCTGTCCTGGTACTGCCAGGAGTTCTGCAGGAGACATGTGAGCTGACTCCTGTGTCCCACATTCCAAAGGATTCCCTGGAAAGCTTGGGCTATTGCAGATGTCAACATCTGTAAAAATCCTTTTCTGCTTGGAAGAAGCAGATGGCAACACAGAATTCCATAACCCACAGACCAAGGAACACAAGATCCCAACAACCTGTTTTGGAATTCACTAAATCTGTCCTGGAGTGTGTGTGTGTGTGTGTGTGTGTGTGTGTGTGTGTGTGTGTGTGTGTGGCGGGGCTGGGGGGAGTTGGGGGATAGAGGCATGAGTAGGCCAGGAACAGTATATAATTGTCAAAATTAAAATGGGTCTCCAATCAGTGTACATTTTCATCATGGAAGAAAGCAGAGAACCTCGGGTTCGCTTCCCAAGAGCAGGCTGTGTTGATTTATTCCTAGCAGATGCTTTTGACGGGACCCTGTAAAATCAAGTCGTGAGTTTATTGTAGCAGTTAATTATCAGGCCTTTTCTGGTGCTAATGCCTTTTACTGCTTCCTGGGGGAAAACTGGCTCGGACAAAAACTTCACTTTTCATCCAGAATGCGTTCAGATACCAGGAGAAGATGATTCAAATAGATTTAAGGAAAACTTGGCTAACTTGTTGCTCTGTGAAGAAAGTAAATCTCAGTTACCAGTCTCTGGGAAGCCTCCGTTCATTTCCCAAAGCCACAGGGCTGCCCCTTTGTTTTAAGTGTTTATCCCACCATTCAGGTGACTGGGGATCCCAGGCACAGGTAAGTGTCCTAGGCACTAGCCTGATGCTGCCACTGTCTTAGATTTTCCAATTCCACACGTGGAGTGACCCCGGCCCTTGGTGCCCCCGGAAGGGTTGCCTGGAATCCCTCCATACAAGCTGGGAAAAGAACTGGTTAGAGGCAAAAGAAACTGCCAAAATAGCGGGTGGGAGTTGTGGGGGTGGGGGAGGAAGCTGGAAGGGGGGCTTTGTTAATTACTTTAGGCAGTCAAGGAATCTGGTTATGTTTTCTCAGCACATGTTAATATCAAATAAAAGAGACACCAGATCTTGCTAATCTGTCGACCCCTCAGACAGTTTATTTGTGGTGACTTTTAAACTCCTGACTTGCCTTCCAATCACTGCGTTTAAAATGAAAAGCTTTAAATAAACACCAGGAATAGAAGATAAATAAACTTTTTTTCCCCCTTGCAAGTGCCTAGCTTGGCGAGGTTCAGGCTCAAATCCCCAGAGGACAGAGCGCTCTCTCTTTTGTGTGAATGTTTAAAAGATTTTCCAATGCCGGAGTTTATTCCTACTGCAAACATTTCTATTTACAAGGTCAAGTGTATCAGCACTCGACACAGCTTAAGAGTGTAATTATTTATCTAAGGGCGTTTGAGTGTAGATCAGTAGCCCTGGCAGAGACCCAGCCTTCAGCCCACTGCTAAACAACTCCTCACAACAATATTACAAGCTCTGCTCATTGTTCCTCTCTGCAGTGTGTTTACTTTTGCTCGCCTGAATGTTTTGTAACAAAATTTGGTATTTTTTTTTTCCCCACCAAAAGTGTGAAAATGACTTTGAAGTAGCCAGTCTCTCAGCCCTATTGGTAACAGATGTTATTGGCAGGTTTGATTGTATGAGAACGCAGTAGTAAAATAGCCAGAGGACAGGCCTAGGAGTCTAGAGTCAAGAGCAAAGTGGGGTGGTCGGTGTGTGCATGGAGGGGTGGGGTCCCAGCAGAGAAGGCAGAGGGGAAAATGTGATGTCTGGGTTATATTCAAGTGGTGCACAGGAGACACCTCAAAATCACCAAACACAAAACACCAGTGGAGGCCAATCAATGGTATCTTTTTCAACCGCCTCATCTACAGCTGTCTAATTATTCATTAAATTAAAGGGGGAAGTAACAGCCCATATGTCTTGTCCCATAGTGTATTTTAATTCCAGTGGATGGTTGGTGGGTTTCAGCGGCTCCTCCACCCCCTCCACCCCACCCATTAAGGGATTCACCTTCATGTAACCCTTGAAAATAATTACAACTGATTCATTATTTAAATTCTTTACTGATGTACACATTTTTTAATAAAACAAATAGCCAAAACAATACCCAAAGCTGTAGTTATTTAAAACATAGGACTTTTTTTTTCTTAAATGATGTCTATAAAAATACAATGTTTAAGGCAGTTTGGAAATGCATTTATACATTTCTACAATGTCCATAAACTCTCTTGAAAAATAACAATGTTAACTTCAAATCTATAAAATACACACTGTACATTTCAGAACTGTTGAAGCTAAAGCACACTTCACCATGGACTCTGGGTTCTGATTCCTGGTGGACCAATGGATTCGGCATATTTGGGGGTAGGGTAAGTGGGGGAAAGGGGTGTCACACGGATGTGGATTTAAAACCTTTCATTTCTTTTTAAAAATAAATTATTTTTTTTCTGAAGCATACACTTTATAAAAATGCTATATACAAAGCACAACTGGTAACAAATCCCAGTTTCAATACACTTTATATACCAAGTACCAAGGCTCAGCACCCTGATAGGGGCGGAGGCGCTAGAAGTTCTCCGCGTTTCAGAACATACAATTTCCGGATGTCAAGGACAAAAGAAAACCACAAGCATCAACAGAGAGACCTTCACGGATGGCAGTGCAGCGCTTTTTCCCAGCAAAAGTTGCATTGTTTAACACCACAGCAACTCACCCTTCATCCCAAATGTGCTAAGAGATCAGTGGTACCAGTGAAATGAAGGTCAAGGGCTCAAAGTTATCCAAAACTCAATTAGGAGTTTCCCTTAAGGCAGTACGGCACCCTACCCTCATCTTGACTTCCTGAGATCACCGTCTCAGTGTCAAACAACGCCGCTGATAACCAAGGCATGAATCAGGAAGCAGGACTTCTCTGTTTACTTAGGAATGCAAGGTCCTCACCAGCGACAAGCGATACAAGTTGGTCAAGACCTGCACTTTTGGTCCTCCTTCGGGTAAGGGAGAAAAAAGTGGGAATCAACAGTCCTCTTGGCAAATGCAATCCTTCTTCAACCCCATCCTGTGCTCCCAGCCCCAGTCCCTGGTAAGCTGGTTTCCTCCTTGGTCAACTGAGCCCCAGGGCTCAATCTTGCACACTTTCTACTAGCCGGGAGCCTCCAGGCCCAAGCCCGGGGACGAAAAGGACCAGCCAATTAATTACCCTTGAGAGAGCAGTCCCGGGAGGTGCGAATGGCAGTGACACACAACCAGCGAGGCCAGGTCCACTGGGGAGGGGTGGTCTCTGACAGCCCTCCCCCACCTCTCCTCTATCCCCAATCCACAGGTGCCCGGCGCCAGTGCGGGTGCAGAGGGGCGCCAGGGGCTAGAAGAGTGGCCCCAACAGCAACAGCAGCAGGGCAGGGGCGAGCGGGGTCCAGGCGCCTGCAGGGGCCCAGCGGTGGCCACCACTGCTGCTCCTGCGCCCCGGCCCGTAGGGCAGGTCCCCGCGGCCGCCCGCCGCAGCAGCGCCTCCGCCCGGGCGCGGGACGCCGTCGTCGTCGTCCAGAGGCTGCTCGCCGCCCGCGCCCCCTGGGCGCTGCTCTTCCTCGTAGTCCTCGTCGTAGTAGTCGTCCAGGCCGCCGTCCGAGCCGCTGCTGCCCGGGCCGTTGCCTAGCTCGGCGCCGAAGCACAGGCGGGCCATGTTCTCCTTGACAGACTCGCAGATGGGCCGCTCGAGGCCGTCGCACACGCAGTCGTTGAGCAGCGCCGCCTTGGGCACGGCCAGCATGTCCTCGATGACCGTGCGGCACTCGTCGGTGCAGCGCAGCCCGTTGAAGAGCTTACCGCAGTAGGTCAGGTATCTGGTGAGCGCCAGGTTGCAGCGGCTGTCGCGGTCACAGCGCCGCCGGGCCTCGGTGCAGCCCATGACCCCGCCCGCGCCGGGGCCTCCCGCACCGCCCGCGCCGCTGCTAGTCCGGGGCAGGCACGGCTCAATGGCGCGCTTGGTGGACTTGCAGTTCTCATCCTGCGCGCAGTCACAGTCCTCCAGGGCGGGCCCGCGGCGTGTGTGGTTGAGCTGAATGAGCGCCGAAATGCAGTGGCTCGGGCAGCGCCAGCGCGACGACGACGAGGACGCGGCCGAAATCGAAGCCGAGGCCGGGAAGGCGGCGGCGGCAGCAGCAGCCCCCGGCGCGTCGCCCCCGCCGCGCTGCGCCAGCACCGGCGCGCACGCCTCGGCGTACTGGCTGTAGGCGTAGCTGCACTCCGGCTCCCCCTGGCACTGCAGCAGCGCCTGCCAGCAGATGAGGCGGCGGCCGTGCGCCAGCCCCGAGCCCCGCGGCGCCGAACCCAGCAGCTGCATGAGCGCCATCAGGCACAGCCAGGCGCCCGGCACGGTCCCCGCGCGGGCCCCGCCGCCGCCGCCCAGCAGCGCGGCCACCATCGCGGGCAGCGGCGGCCGCCGGGCGAGGAGCGGAAAGGAGTCGAGGCGTGCGGCGGCGCGGAGTTCGTGGAGCCGGAGGCAAAGTTTGCCCAGGTCCTGCGCACTTCTGGCATGGGTGTCCTCATAAATCCATGCGCTCGCCGCTGCCCCGCCGGTCGGCGGCACAGGGTCGGCTCTCGCCCCGCTCACGCGCGCGCGCGGGCTGCGACCGGAGAGTGGTGTGAGGAACCGGCTCCTGGAACTGCAACAGCCGCCGAGACCCGGCCCCGCTCCTCCACCCGAGAGCACTCCCCGGCGGCGCTTGGCGGGAGGCGCTCAGTGCAGCCCCGGGGGGCTGCAGGCCGCGGGGCCGCGGCGGGGCTGCAGGAGCGCGCGGCGCCGCGGGTGCATGGTCCTCGGCTGCTGCGGATCCGTTGTGCGCGCCGTTCCTCCGTCCCCGGCTCAGCGCTGCTTCGCGTCGGCCGCCGCCACCGCCGGCTCCGCGGGCCCTCGCATCGCGCGCCTCCCGGGCCAAGGGGGGGTGCTTCGGCGTCCGGCCGCTGCTGCCCGCCTTCCCGCGGCCCTGGCCGCCGCGCGTCCCCTCCCCCTCCGGCCGCGGCGCCCCTGGGCCTCGGCTGCAGCTCCCGGGAGCCCTTTCCGGAAAGCACCAGAAGACTCGGCGCGGCCGGGAGAGCGCCTCCCGGGCTGGCTGCTCGGCTGAGCGGGAGAGCCTGCCGAGCGGATCGGCAGAGCCCGGCTGCGGGAACTCTACGATCGCCGCGAGGCTTTAAATACAAAAGTGGGCCGGGAGCCCCCGCGTGGTGCCGCTGCGCCCCCTCATTATGCATGCATGGAAAAGCAAACAAACAAAAACATTAGCAACGCTCCTGCGCTCGCCGGCCCGGCCCGCGCGCGCTCCCGGCCGGCCCGCTTTCTCCTTTCTCCACTCGCTGCACCCTTCGCTCGGCCCCCTTTCCCGGCTGCGCGAGATGCCATTGGTCCGGCCCGTTGTTGTTGAAACTTTTTTTTTTTTTTTTTTTTTTTTTTTTACGAGCCGCTGGAGTGGGCCAGCGGGTGGGGGAGGGCGAGGGGCAGCTCGCATTCAGGCGTTCGGGATTGAAAGGGCCGGCCCGGGAGCCCCGCCGCCGCCCGGCTGCTCCTCCTCTTAAGGAGGCACAACGGCGAGCCCCGCGCGCGCTCTGCACCCGCCGCCGGGGCGCAGGGCTGCTGCGGGCGTCCGGCCCGGCTCTGGCTCTTTTTGTTTGTTCTGCACTATAAGTTTTGTGGAGTTTTCTTTTTCTTGTTGGAATGTCCTCGTTCCCGCTGATCGCCAGGTTCAGAACTCGGTTCCCTCTATTTGGGGTGGGGGTAGAGGAGTGACCCCTCCCCCCGGGGGCTCGGGGGGCGGTAGGGGACTGCTGACCCCGGGGGAGTCCCCGCGGGACCCCAAGGTGTGGCGGGGGGAGCGTGGAGAGAGAGAGGCCGCACGAGGTCCGCGGCGCACGCCCTCCGCACCGCTTTCCCACCGCAGCAGAGAAAGCGATCCAGCCCCAGTCGTTCCCCAGTGAGGGGGACTTGCAACGTGCCCCCCGAGGACGCGGATAAGGACAGCGGTCCCAGATCTTGTTGGGGGGGGAGCGGCTAACGGGGTGCTGAGCGCTGGGCGCCTCCAGACCTGGACCTGGGCGAGCGGCCGCCCCCCAGTCCCCGGGGCGCGGACTCGGGCGCTACCTTAACGGCGGCGCAGCGCGGGCCTGGGCCGCCGGGGGCAGCGGGCGTCTGCGGCCTGTCAAACGCGGGCGCTCCCGCCCCTCTCCGTGGAGGGACTATCAACTCCATCTGTCACCAGCATTCAGGCGCGCTCTCCCCAGAGGCCATGGGAATTTGAAACGGCCCAGGTCAGGGCCGGGACTGCCGCCTTCCTGGGGAGTCGCTGGGTCCCCCAACAAACCTTAACAGAGCCCGTCTGGGTTAGGGGGCCTGGGACAGCCGGAAGCCCGCCGCAGGTAAACGCGAACGTTCAGACATACACCGGGGGACTGCCAAAAGTTCGAGGGCGATTTTTTTTTTCAGATGTCGAAATCCATGCATCAAGGGGGAAAATGTATTTAAGGAAAGGGCTACGCCTGTTTTAAAAACCTCTGACAACCAGAGTATGCTTTAATTGTCTCTGTTTTCAAGAACCGCCTCCTGGGATTCCTCCGCTGGAAAGATTGCAACCGTGGGTTCCCCAAAGCAGGACGCCCCCGAATTGTTCTTTGTTACCCTAGTCCGGCCAGGGCGGCTGGGGCACCTCCACTTCCTCTTTGTGACCCAGATACCTGGCAGGTGGGGTTTGAGGCCAGTATAGGAAGAGGCACATTCAGGGACATCTTTTGAGGTAACTCTAATTTCCTTTCCAGGTTTGGGTCTCAAGCCTCAGCCAGCAGGAGAGCCGCCTGCAGGCCTGGTTGGAAATCTCTGCGTTTCTGAGGGATTAGAAGGATGGGGTGTGTCTAGCGCGGTGAGGGTGAGGCTAGCGTGAGGGCCTTGTTGGGAATCTGCATTTCCGTTAAGTTCTTAGGGTATGCTGCGGTTGGCTTGACGACAAGGCCTCGGAAACCTCTACTCTGGAGGCTAAAATGTGTTTCCCCTCCCTCCCCAAATTATATATAAAAATATAACAGGCAGAGTGGGGAGGGAGAGCCAGAAGGAACCTCCAGCAGCATGTTCACTTCCCAGATGATGGTGACAGCTGGACTTGCACCAGGCAAATGCGGAAGCCGGAAACTCCTTCTAACCCGGTCTCCCACGTGGGTGCAGAGATGCAAACACTGGGGCCAGCCTCAACTGCGTTAGCAGGGAGCAGGGTGAGAAGTGGAGCAGTCAGGGACTCCAGCTGGCCCTCTGACGTGGGATGCTGGCATAGCAAGTAGCAGCTCACCCTGCCACAGCCACAGACAGCCTGGGGTGTTTAGTTTTGTCTTTCCTGAGGTGCTCAGGGGGCTGTAAAGGCTGCTCCTTCCCTGGCTCATGGCGGTGGCGGTAGCGGTAGCGTGGGTGGCTTGAGGGACTGCGCGCCCCTTTTCTTCCCACAGAGCTCACATTCACCCACCCACGGGCTGTACTCTAGTAACTAACCCGGATCTGCGGGATTGAAAAGCTAGCGTTCACTCAGAGTCCCTTCTCTCCTGTTCTCTCTTCAATTCCTCCCAATCAGGATCCATTTTGCTATTTGACCCTCAAGGCCACCAATGACCGACATCTTGCTCTCTCACTGGGTCTTGAAGCTGTGTCCGGTAGGGCCGCCCACCTGCTTTCCGCTCTGGGACTCTGCACTCTCTCCTCTTGGAGTCTCTCCGTAAATCACTCTCAGGCGGTGATTTTGCATCGCAACACCTTCTTTGGTGTTTCAGTCACAGACATTCTCTGGTTCCCACTTGTGTAAAGGTGCTACAGGGACCTGAAGAGTGAATGGCTCCTCAGATCTCTGCTCAGCTCTCCCTGATTCTGGCCTTGCTCCAAGCGAGAGCAGCAAGTCTTTATCCATCTGCTCAAAGAATCAGGAGAATGAAAACAAGCAATGTTTGAAGTCACGAGATTTCTTGGTGGCGTATAATGCCACAACAGGGCACCCAAACATGGCCCGTTGAATCTAGTTGCGTCCATGAAAGATACTGATATCTACCTGAATTCCTCGCTGTTCCCCATGTGTCACATGATGCTGTGGCCATTAACTAATAGAATTTTAAAAAGCAAAACACATGTCTTGTCTTCTAAACTGGCCAACTCAAAACTGGTCCAAATCCTTTGAACCTTACAGAAGGAAACAGCGACCCTGAAGAGACAGAGTATGGACTAGTTTCCAGAAGGGTTCAATGGTTCATGGAAAGATCAGAAGGTTTGGTCAGTGAGCACCAATGGTTTAGCAGTGGGGTGGACATGAGGCAGGAGGTAGTAGATCTTTGTCCTTAGGCGACTTGCCAATGCAATGGCACTGCTACCACTCAGCCAACCTTATGTCACAGGCACCCAATCGCGTGTTTTGTTTACTTATTTTTTATGACCAGGAAGTATTCATGCTCGAGTTTGTAGTAGTTACTCAGTGGAAGCCAAATTATATCTATTCTATAATTTTATGTCATGTCTCGTACCTAGAACATCAACTTCTTTCTTGTCTCATTGTTGCTTTAAAAAAAAAAGATTTATCTATTTATTTATTAGAGTTATAGAAAGAAACGGAGAAAGAGAGAGAGAGAGCTGCCTTCCGTGTGCTGGTTCACAGCTCAGATGGCTGCAGCAGTCAGGGCTGGGCCAGTTAGAAGCCAGGAGCCAAGAACTTCTAGGTCTCCCACAGGGGTGGCAGGAAGCAAAACATTTGGACCATCTTCCGCTGCTTTTCCCAGACCATTACCTGGCAGCTGCTTTGAAAGGAAAGTAGCTGAGTCTCAAACTGATGCTCACATGGAATGCCAGTGTCACACACAGGCAGTGGCTTTACTCACTATGCCACAATGCACAATACTGGTCCTATTGTTACTTTCTTAAGAAGCATTCATTATGGGAAAAAAGTAGAAGGCTACAAGGCCAGGTGGACAGAAATTCCAAGGAAGTTAGGTCATTCCCACAATTAAAGACACAGCAGCTTCTCCCAAACTCCATTTTTCTCTGTGTTTTTGTAAGAACAGGCTCCATCTGTCCTAGTAATTTTGAGAAAGCGTCCTTTCCATCCACCTGCCGTGTCTTCTCATTGCTCTGGTTGCCTTGACATTTTCATCACTGCCAAACTCTGTGTATTTCCCAAGTCAGACTTTAACCAAGGGAGCATTTTAGCAGCTCGTAGGAGCTTTCTCAAAGTGTACATGGGTCCATCCATTAACTTCCTTGCTGAGGAAGTGTGGTGAAGTGTGCATTGAATGTGTATATGTGGGGGTGGGGTGAGGGAGTATTTATCTGCCTAATTAATGCTGCCAGTGCTGCCTAGATTCTGAGATGTCACAGATTTCACAGATCAGTTCATGTCCATAAAAACCAAAAAATTGGAATTATCTTTGAAAAAATATGCCGACTGTTGACTCTTCATTAAATATTAAGAGATAATAAAACAAAAACAAAAAACTACCTGTAGTCAAAGCTTTGGCACAGCGGGCTAAACTGCCACATGATCTGGCTCTGGTTCTAGTCCCAGCTGCTTCACTCCCTATCAGCTTCCTGCTGATGGCCTGGGAAGGCAGTGAAAGATGGCTGAAGGGCTTGGGCCTCTGCCACCCATGTGGGAGACCCACAAGGGGTTCTGAGCACCTGGCTTTGTTGTGGTTGTTTGATCTGTGAACCAGGACAT